CAAACTAGTGTTTGCAACCACTAATTCATAGATTAAACCATGAAATTGACACAAATAACAAACACCCATAGTCAATCTAACCTTAAATCACAACACCCATCAATTACTCATACTAGGGTTGAGCCACAACCCTAGCTAATGGGTCTAGATACTCATATGAAGAGAAAAACAGAGAAATAGATGAAGATAAAGACATATTAATTAATTGCTAAGGTAAATACAAAGATTCAATAATAAAAACTAAGTAAAAATGCCCTAAATGGATAAGAAAAGTCTTCTCACGAGCGCAGCTAAAGTCTGATAATATCTGATACCCTAAAAATGGAAAAAGGTTCTATTTATACTAAGCTAAAAAAACTGGACAAAATTGCCCCTACGGGTTAGTGCGGCCGCACTAGGCTCTTGAACTTGCAATCTTGACTCTCTGAACCCAGGCTCCGCGGACCACACAAAATGGACTGCGGCCGTGGAGGCTTCTAGCGCGGTCCGCACAAACTCGACCACGGACAGCATAGGCTTGGACCTCTGAACTTGGCATCTCTCTGAACCTTGTCTCTGTGGATCGCACAGAATGGGAGCGCAGCTGCAGAGATCCACTGCGGACCGCACAAAGTGTAGTACAGCCGCATTGCTTCGAAGCCTGAAATGCTGAATCTCTGAACCTCTCTAGTGCGGACGGCACAAAGTGTAGTGCAGCCGCACTAGGCCTGTTTTTCCTGAGTTTGTCTTGTCTTTGGTGCTTGTGCAAGTTTCACTCCTTTTGAGTTGATCTTTGACATCTTGTCACTTTGTTGATCAAACATGCAATCAAGCATAACTTATGAATCTTTTGGGACTATTTTGTATGAATTTATAATCAAAGCGGAAGCAAGAAGGACCATAAAATGAGTCAAAATCCCTAGATATCAGTAGCCTCGCGATCGGATGCAGTAAGAACGGTATTGTGGACCTCAACCCACTTTGCCCTGGCTTCTTCAAATTGTACCTTTAAATGGCAGTCTTCTAGCTAAGGGTCACTACCTCTTGCTTGTTTTGCTACAATCGAGCCTCCAATTCAGCAGCCTCAGCAGCTCGTACTTCTAATTTCGGAATGGGGGCAACAATTTGATCTCGCTCAGCCAACCATTGATCCCGTGCAGAGGTAAGTTTTTCTTTGTCAAGTATTAATCACTGAAGACCGTCGGAAGCAAGGAAGTTAGCCTCCAAAATTGAAGTACAAACTAAAAACCCTTCTACTACAACGATAGAAAGAATAACAGAAAGAACAAAGATCGTACCATCCCTGCGTTATGCATGGCATTATTCATCAAATACTCTCCCAAGAGAGATTGTATTTTATTCCTGGCCCTTTTCGAAGCTAGAGGCTTCAGATAATTAGCAAGTTCCATTGGACGGGACAACAGATGACATCCGGTAGAAACTGAGAGGGCAACACTCCTCCTCCTTTGTTGATCATCGGAGGGGGCAGAATGGTTATGTTCTAAATTCCTATAAACTGGGGACTGGGGAAGAGGGACATCTTCCTTTCAAACGATAGTGGCCGGTGGAGATGATGTAGCAGTTGTTGGTGACGAAGGCAGTGTTTGAGAAGAAGGTGGTGAAGCTGTTGGCTTTGTAGATTGCGAAGCAGCTGCGGCAAAAGCAGTGCTGGTTGTTGGTTGCTCACCAACTGAAGGCGGAAAATACCCGGTACCCAATATCATGGTACCAAAACAACGACTGGGACTCGGAAGCGAGAGTTAGCATCTTTCACTATATCAAACTCCCCTCTGAGTGTCGGGACATCATCCCTAGTTGGAGTAACTAACTCAACAGATTGACCATTATGTTGAGCTAATGAAGGTTGTCGTCTTCTATGTAGAGAAGCCTCATCATTACTGGCTCCTCCATCATCGTCGATCACCACGGTGTCTATGGCTGGCTCGGGCATGATGCTCATCACCACTGTGCCCACGGTTGGCTCAAGAGTAGCACTCTTTGTCTTTTTATTTCTACCCTCGGCTGCGGAGGAACGACGCCTCTTTGCTTGCTTGTTCTCCGGTCGAGGACTCCGAGAAGAAGCACTTGCACTGGAAGCAGTTCGGTGATACCTGTTCAGGTAAAAACCTCCTATAGCAAACTTGCTGCATTGATCGGATTAGCCAAAACATCATCCTCGGGGACGGTAACAAGCCCATGTGGTAGACCTGAACTCAACGGGAGAGAAAGGTTAACCAAATTTCCTTTACGAAAGGTAAAAACAAGATGAGTTCTGCCTACCATAATTTTTGGCCTTCTACCCGTATTTAAGGGCCAACTTTTTCCACGTGCGGGTCTTGGATGTAGTGATGTCTAGAATTTTCTAAACCCGTTGGTCCAAGCCTTCAACCCTTGGTGGTGTCCACCGAGTTGCTGAAATAGTGAAAGAACAAGGATCAATAACAGCATGGGACGACCTTTAACTGGAAGAAAAGATAAGCGATGAACTTATGAGTACGGTTCCATACTTCTGGAAAGGATAGAGTCGTGGCCGGGGTGATATCCCTGGGGAAACTACAATGAACTGCTCCATCCACCCGCGATCGTTGTCATCATCCATGTTGTTGAGCAAAGCATGGTAACCACATTTGCTAAAGTTTATCATTCCCCCATGGAAAATCTTTTTTTTTGGGGGGGGGGGATAAAGGTTCATCAGTGGAGCTGGGGGCAGCTCTTCTCCTGTCTCCTGGCATAGGCACTGAAGACAAGCAACAGTCCTCCATATAGAAGAGCTCACCTATGCCAAGAAGACTTGGTAACGAAGGCAAAACTCCAAAATAACGGATTCAAGCCCTCCGCTCAATGAGAAGGAGCCCAAAGTAAAGAAGAACGGGTCCAAAGTAAAGGAATACATATAAACATACGTAAAATTCTTCTTATAGAAAGTTAATCGCTCCGCCAAGTCAGGAGCAATGATGTTCAAATCCTGAAAACCACAATCTTCCTTCACAGCAGGGATGCTAGAATGACAGATGGAAGAAGGATACACGCCAACAACCCATGTTCGGGGTTAGCAGAAGGGTACTTATCTTCCAAGTCCTTAGTCATAATAAGCTTTGAAGGAATGATAGTGCTCATCATGGGAGGAGGAGCATTATCAACACTTTCTTTATTTTTTGAAGATATGGAATTTTTGGAAGAAGAGGCCATTGTTATCAGAAGAGAATAAGGGTTTTTTTCTCTGAAGAAGAAGGTTAAAGGAAGTGGAAAACGAGTATGAGTTGAGTAAAGAGAGTTTGAAAGAGTTTGGAAAATTATGAAGTGTAAAAGGAGAATGTTGATGCGTATAATTAAAGGAATAGACGACTAAAATCATGGCCGTAATTACCTCAATAACCGGCAAAAGTGTTACTGAATCATGGGATGATGCGTGTTCGGAGCATTAAATATGGAGAGTCGTGCTTCTAATCAACCGTCAGAAACTTTTCAGAAGGGGTCAGGGAATTTACTACCAAGAAAGGTATCTTTACCAACTTCCCGGTGACATAAAGTTATGCCACCGGAAAGCAGGAGGACTATCTGTATAGGGTAAAATATATTTATATTAAATGCTCGCATGATAAATCAACACATGGAGCCGAAGATAGAAGTCTACCAGATCTGAAGGCAACGATCTTGTTTGTTCCCGAAGGGAGTGGTGTTCATGAAGGAGAAATAAATACTTGTCACCCGCTAGCATTTAATGGAGAATATTCTATAGCATTAAGTACATAGTCCGTTACAAAGAATATGGCATTCACTGTCTACGTTATACATTATTCAATGGCTCTCATAATCGTTATTTAAGAAGGGCTTGATACTAGGACCTTGTTCTCTAGGCACCATTATAAATAGAGAACTCAACAACCATTGTAAGGACACAAATTTTCTAACAAGCTAATACCACACTTTGTTCAAAAGCTCAATAATATTTATCTTCTTGCTTAATAATATTGTTACTACTGCCTCCGAAAGCTCTGCTCCCAGAATCATGATTGCTACTGTTTTATCTCGATTTCAATGCTAAGTCTTATATTCTTGTCTAATTTATTTATCATTTTGGGATCAAACCGATTCACTTGTCTATAAACCACGTATAAATTTAATTGTACCGTTTTACGGGCAAACAAGTGTGAAGAGAGTTTTTTTCATATTATAAGTGTAATTTAACCCATTGTATTATGTTTTTTATTTTATTTTAATGTTATTAATTTAGCAATTACATTATTTTTAATATTTTTTAAAATATTATTTGTGCATAGAAGTTCAACTCTTGCCAGTTGCCACCACCCAATGAAAGGGGGGAAGAGAGGATAAATTAATGAGGGGGGAGGGAGAAGATAAAAGAAATGTGGAAGCAGGTGGGACATATCTTACGTGGGCACTTGATACTACACCTAGTAGAGAAAATTATTAGTTAGCTAACTAATAGAGACGGATATTCGTCCAGGTTCAACCTTTAGCTTTAGTTCCCTCCAATGATGCACTACTAGTTGCTGTTCCGCTCATATTCATATAAGTACATTTCTACAACTGCATATCTCTCTCTCTCTCTTTCTGAATCTCGTCTCCAGATTCATATTCATTCATCTTATTATAACAACTAATTTTATACTCCCTTAATTCCCTTTGTATTAGAAAGATGGAAATGATGAAGAATAAAGAGAACAAGGAGCTCTTTCATGTTGTTCATAAGGTTCCTTCAGGTGATGGCCCTTATGTTAGGGCCAAGCATGCTCAGGTTTTTTTTCTTGCTATAATTTGCTTCCTTTCTTTTCCTTAATTATTTACCCTTAAATATCTTATTACTCTACTTATGTTTGCAGAACTAAACATCTTTAATAAACTTACAAACTGGTTTCTTGATATATTGGAAATTAATCATTTCCGATCAACGAGCTAAGTTTATTTTATAAAATATTGGTGATGGTCCAACAAAAATGAAATGGGAAAGTGAAAAGGTGTAAAAAAAAGAAGAAGAAAATACTTTGCTTGATTTGTTGCTGCTATAAATATATTTCAAGCTAGATAATGCAAATTCATGGTTTAGAGTACTCGGTTTATCCGGAATGAATATTATAGGCCCGGCTAAAACAATTTCCACCCAACCTTCAAAACTAAGTTAATTAGGTCTGAAGTAAGGCTAAAATTTCATAATTAGCTCAACTAATATAGGCTATAGCTGCCTTTTCATGGATGAAAAGTACTTGACAACCAAGCTTGGTCAGATCTGGTGCTTTATAGTAAGATACATTTGATAGATCTATTGGTAGACACTGGTCAGAAATCTTATCTGTTTGGGAAGATACATTATGAAACTCAAAAAGTAATTTCGTTCATCCTAGCCACAGCATTCTTAGATAATTCAGTAATTATCTAGTAAGATATATATATATATATATATATATATATATATATATATATATATATANCCCCAACCTGAACCATGTTAACCTCGACAAATAGCCTTTAGAAATATATATATATATATATATATATATATATATATATCCAGATTGTCTCAAAACAACCACAATCTCGTGGAATTATTAGGACATAGTGAAAATATAGAGAGCAAATTAAATGAAAGAAAAGATCCATATAAAGTTGGGACTAATTAAGTTTTACCCTTCCTTAATATGTTCTCTTTAGATCCAATGTCTGCTAGGAGTTATTAATCTGGTTAGAGATTTATACGTCGATAGAATACAGAGAACTTCTAATATTAGAGAACCTATACTTTTAAATAATATGGATAATTACAATACATGCATTCGACCACAATTAGTTACCTTAGCTTATAATTTAAAAATTCTCAAAACCATCCCAATTCCCCTATATATGGATGTTTTGAGTTTTGACGTCTCTTCCTAGTATCACGACATTTTAGGTTTGGACTACTTCTTGAAGCAAAAAGTGTTTCGTTTTATTAACTTGTGTGCATGCTAGCTCTAATACGTGAACCATGTGATGGAGATGGCACTTTTCCTCTTCTACGTGTCGTTTTGTTCTTTTTCTTACCTTTTTCATTTCTTTCATCCATTAATCGTTTTCTCATTTATGGACAAATTAAACAATAATAACGTCGTAAAACTATACAATATCCTTTTCAGCTGGTGGAGAAGGAGCCAGAAGCAGCAATAGTATGGTTTTGGAAAGCAATAAATGGAGGAGACAGAGTGGATAGTGCCCTTAAAGACATGTGTGTGGTCATGAAGCAACTTCATCGAACTGAAGAGGCTATCGAAGCCATCAACTCTTTCAGATCTCTCTGCTCCCAACAAGCTCAAGAGTCCCTCGATAATGTCCTCCTCGATCTTCTCAAGGTATATATATATATATGCTCGAGTTTTGAGAATGAAGAACAACTTTCGAACAATGAGAATTTAACTTTCTACTGAGAATCTAAATTAATCGGGTCGAGTTTTGAATATTGGACAATAAAACCAAAAAATGAATTTACATAGGAAAAGGGGATAAGGGAAGTAAATATATACGGAGATTGAACATTTCACTAACATGGTGCATCCGTGCATGAAAGCTAATTTTGGACGGTTCACAAAGTGTGTTTCAAATTTCCAATCACTATTTCAGTTAAATTCTATTGTCACCTCATAGGCTTATACTAATACACATGGATACGTATAGGGGTGGCACAATGGTTCAAAAAAAACAGTTAATCACCCATATTTTCCATTTAGAAAAGGGATAACCAATGTAATTTTTACATTTGTAACGCCTCAAATTGGGGATTCCTCAAATTAGGGTGACTAACAATTCTCCCAAAAGTAATCATATGCAAGAAATCATTGGTTATGCTAAAAAGGTTCATGTGACAATTGATATACAAGACTGGAGTTTGCTCATAGACATGAGATGTATTACACCAACTATATTATAATATTATATGGACTAATTGTAATATATTTCACATGTATACAGAAATGTGGAAAAGTAGATGAACAAATAGCGCTGTTGAAACAAAAGTTGAGACAGATATACCAAGGGCAGGTCTTCAATGGTAAACCTACAAAAACTGCTCGCTCTCATGGAAAGAAGTTTCAGGTTTCTGTCGGGCAAGAGACAGCCAGAGTTCTGGTAACTATACTAGTACTACCTTTTACTATTTTCTTTAATCTAAAATATTCCCCTGACTTAAATGACAAAGCATGCACGCACAATTGCACATAGGTAAAAGAGTTAAAGCATTTATACGGTGACAGTGTGAGAAGAAATTTTATATTATCAGCATACCTATAAGATAATTACCCATAGAAAGTGGGATTAATTAGTTACCTGAAAATAAGAGAGGCTAAAATCCAACTTTAAAATAGGAGTATTCTTTAGTAGAATGTTCAAAATAAAAAGAAAATACAAAATATATGTACTGCTATAAAAGAAGGGATGCTCATACTGAGAACATAATCCACAAGCTGTAACATGTTTACCTTCTTTTACATTAGGGATCTTTACACTAATAGCCGATTATATTCATTGTTTACTTTTTCTAATCATATATATAGATTATATATAATTATACACATATAATACATAAATTATGTATGTATTATACCTCCACTGGCTATTTTTAGTTTAAGTCAACAATTAAAAAATGTTACAGGGAAATTTGGGCTGGGCATATATGCAAAATGGGAATTTTATGGCAGCGGAAGTTGTATACAAGAAAGCCCAAATGATTGATGCAGACAGCAACAAGGCCTGTAATCTGGCCCATTGCCTAATCAAGCAAGCCCGGTATGATGAGGGCCGAGATATTCTTGAAAATGTTTGGAGAGGCAATTATGCAGGTTCTGATGATCCAAAGACAAGGAACCGAGTGGAGGAATTGGTGCTGGAATTGGACTCGAGGCCATTCTTGCAAAACGTTCCGGGCCTAAATTTGGATGATGATTTTGTTAATGGGCTTGAACAGCTGATTAATGAATGGACCCCTTCAAGATCAAGAAGACTACCAATATTTGAGGAGATCTCTACTTTCAAAGATCAATTGGCTTGCTGATGATTTTCAATATTCAAATGATTTAGGTAGGATTGAAATATATTTAGCCATTCGACTTAGGTGAAAATAAATAAGCTAAGAGATGTGATCTGTGTAAATTGTGATGTAAATGAGATCTTTGGACAAAGTTTGGGGAAATGAATTGCTCTGCTCTTTGTTGTTGGTTAAAATACTTGTTTTTCGAAATTTACTGGCTCGATTAAATCAGCTAAATTGGATAAAATACTACTTATCAAAAGGCCCTCCTTTGAAATTTCTGGTTAAAATACAGAAATTATAATCGTCTTAGCACACCACTTGACCATTGACTATAATAAACCACTAAGTGGGGGTGTTAGAGTTTCAACTCTCTCAAACATACCCTTCTTTAACCATTTTAGATATTTCCAAAATCACAATGCAATACGTTCATTACTTTTTCGACCTTTGTGGAAAGTGCATATTGCTTCTTCTAAAGGATCTTTCTGGTCAGACGATGTATAAATTATTTACCCCAACTCAAGTTTTACATGACTTTCTCGGACGTAAAATGCATATACACCACGAAGTAGTCGACATCATCGTTACTCGAGAAACACACTATTTCGATTCGGAGAAAAGAATTAAAGGATACACAAATTATGCGCAAGGGGTGTACATGGGGCGAGTTGGTTCGAATTTTTCAATTACCAAATAAACTAATTGTCTCGGATGATTAAATTTGTAAATCAAACCAAACCAACAAAAGTCGGGCTTTTTAATCACGATTTTTCTCAGGTTTTTCGAATTTTTTCCCGACAAAATCTTCATAGCATAAATTATAATTTGTGCTCTAATATTTCTTATGTCCTAGTCGGATAAAACTATATAAGATGTTACCTCGATTCAGGGATCGGTAGCGTCTTCTTCGGTCGGTAGGTGGGCATGAATGGAGCTTCCAGGAGTTAGTGCATTGGATTCCTGGGCAACTGCATCTAGTAGAGCTGACTGAAGACCAAAGCAATCTCCTTTCTAGTCTAGTCTAGGCTTCTAGCCTTGGAAATGAGTCCTTAAACTCCCCTAGCTGTTGCGCTTACGGAAGGGGAAAAGCTTGATTCTCATAGATTAGACAATACACATGTGCAAACAAGAAACATTATACGCAACATAAGCACCTGAAGTACTAAACGGAATAAGTATTAGTTTGGTAATGGTTGGAGCAACAAACTCGGATTCGGCAAGAATCTCATTTTTTGGTAGTACGAAGGGGGAATTGGCCCAAAAATTGGATGGGGGTCAAGACGTTGTCGGGCGCCGGCGGCTGACTCAAGTGCCCCCCGCGCGAAATGGTCGCCTATTACACGGCTCACTAACTCTGCCTGGGGTGTGGGTACCTATTATTCGTTGGGTAATTTGTTTGCGTATTCCCAGACAATAGAAAAGAGTTTTTCTTTCTCCTCGAGATAAAATAATGTAAGATGAGTCATGATTATACTAAAATACTCAACAAATCGCATAAGATAAATATTGCTAATTAATAAGCCATAATAAAAATAAACATAATCTAAATTTACTAAGTCATGTTAAAGTAAGTACGACTAGTAAGTACTAAGTATTAATTACATGACTAAATAATATTAAAAGTGAGTTACACATTTCACTATCTAAATCAATGCAAAACTAAAAAAGTAAATATCCAATACTATTGTCATTTCTAGTATTGAATTGAACTTTTTTTGGTTAGCACTAGTATTAATTTGATATTGCTTTGGGCTTTATTTGAGTTTGTAGGGCTATAAAACATATTTGACCATTCAAAAGTTATAAGTCTAAGCTTGAAATAATATATCAAAAGAAAGAACTATTAAAGAGTTTAAATTATATTTATAAATTATATTACAATAATTATTTTTATATATAAATTATTTTTAAAACTTGTATACATATAACGTCGGGTTGATTTGGTTTCGGTTTGACTTTTTTTAGTTATATCCAAACCAAACCAATTATGGTCAAGTTTTTTTTCTAACACCAAATCATAATCGAATTTTTTTTCTCGATTTGACTCGAATTATCGGTTTGGTGAGGTTTGTCGGTTTTCTTTGTACACTCACAATCTTTGTATTAATAAATTACCTCACAATCTTTGTATTAATAAATTACCTTTCATTATATTTGTTTGTGATTGCCGCTGTTTAATTTTCATATTCTCAATTCGTCGTGAACAATTATATGTATCGAACATATAAATATTTATGACTTTATGATGCGAATCTATTAGCCGCCAGGCACATCCTACCTTATCACAGTGTGATCTCTATCTCGGTCTAATGCTAAATGGTCGGTCCACTTTTTATGATAGTTCAATCGTTGACATAAAAGCACTTTTTTCACCTGAAACTTGCTCACCCTAGAGGCCTAGACCTATTGGCGTCTGTCCATCTTATAGCCTTCCCAAACAATCCCATACTCATACATAGAATCGGTCAAAATCTTGGTCAATTACTCCAAGTGGATAGCTCCAATAAACACAATCAAGCAAAAATCCTCCACAATCTTAATTGAAAATGGCAGGTAAAGAACCAGTTATCATCACAGACAAGGAAGAGATGAGAAAATGGACAAGAACCATGAGATCCCTAAACCATACAATTGGCTTTGTCCCCACTATGGGTTACCTTCACGAGGGTCACCTTTCTCTAGTCCAAGAAGCACAAAAACATACTGACCTTATAGTTGTGTCCATTTATGTAAATCCAGGTCAATTTTCACCCAATGAAGATCTTTCCACATACCCTTCTGATTTTCAAGGCGATATTCAGAAACTCAAGTCTGTTGCTAATGGCGTTGATGTTGTATTCCACCCCAAGAATTTGTATGACTATGGGAATTCTGAAATGGGACTAATTAGGTCAGCTGAGAGGATTAATGAAAAAGAGAATGAGGGTTTAAAGGTGTTATCTTGTGTTGAAGATAAAGGGATGGGGCATGAAACTTGGGTTAGAGTTGAAAATTTGGAAAAAGGATTGTGTGGGAAGAGTAGGCCTGTTTTTTTTAGAGGGGTTGCTACTATTGTTACCAAGTTGTTCAATATTGTTGAGCCTGATGTTGCTGTCTTTGGCAAGAAGGATTATCAACAATGGAGGATTATTCAGAGAATGGTAAGCTTACTAAAAAAGAGTTCATCTTGTTTTGTTTAAAAATGTTGGATTGGTTTGTAGATGATCTTAGTTGCGCTCGGCGTTTGCATCAAATTAACGAAATTTAACTCTAAGAAAAGCGATGCTCACAAATTGAGCTAGTACATTATTTAACAGTAGTTAAGTGATCAAAATTTTGTTGAGTTTTTGTTTAAGATGAAATAGTCTTAAAATTAGAGTGAATGGGAAATGAGATT